AACGTAAAAAAAAAAAAAAAAAAAAAAAAAGAAAAAAAAAGGAAAAAAAAAATCTTTTTCTTATTCTTTCTCTACTTCTGATCTGGTGCTAATTAATGCTGATAGTACACCTTAATGCTACTTTTGTATCTACTTTCCCTTTTCATCTTCAACTTAATATGATTAAGAAACGATATGTAAAAATATCTTATGTGTCGTATTATATAAATTATTAGTTTGTAAAACGATTAGTTTAATGTTGTTCTACAAATAAAATTGTTTAGAATAATAATTTTTCAAACTTCCCAGACTATTTAACCAACAATCAAAAACTTAATCTGATTAATCGTCGAGTTAAGAAGAAATTTATTTTCTTATAATAAGTAGTCTTGATATTAAAATATCTTTAAAAAAAAGATTAAACACATTCCAATCTATATATTTACACATATATTTATTTGATTTATGTAATTTAAGTAGTGACCAAGTCGCAAATAATTGTCTAATATTTTCCATACTTTCTTCTTTTTCTTTAATTTTCGATAAAAAGCATGAACATTATTTAAAAAAAGAAAATGAACGAAAATATTACACGTGTAATAAGTAGTAGTAGTAATCGTTGTAAACGAATTTCATCGAAATCAATCATTTCGATTCGAATTACCTTACGAATTTTTACAGCATCTCTCGTTATCTCGTGGATAAGAAAAATTTAAGATTAACTTTCTCAAGTAATCATCACGAGTTATTTAAAAATTTTCCCATATTTTATTTCACTTTTCATTTCGCTTACTCTTCCTATCCCTTAACAATCATGCGTGATTAAAAATATGGCATAGAACGTACAAAAGAGAATAAGATATGTGAAAAAAATACCAATCTGTCATAATAATTTAATTCGATATGTAACAATATTCGTCTTATATTACCGATAGAATATAATTTTAATAAACATGTTCGAAAACACATTTGTAGCATTTACATTAGCATCTACATTATTCGATATACAATGTCATATTATTCGTTCATTTATATCAATTTTTCAACATTATATATTAAGAAGAATAACGTATTCGAAATACGATTCAATGAATTGTAAATATATCATAAATTAAGTGTATGTATTAAAAGTACGATTTAAACCGAATTTTTCTGTTATGTACGTACGTTTACATTATTCTTAATCATTCCATCCTTATTATTCGATTTACAATAATCGCAAATTAGCGTTATGATCTTAGTTGCGTTTAATTTAATTTAAAAAAAGTACGAAAAAAGAAAGAAAAAAAGAATATATCACTTTTCTATATGTATAATATTTATATGTAACATTTCTTAATGTATAACATTATTATGAATTTTTACATGAAATGAAGAAACGTTTAGTCGTAAGTCGTATGGTAGCGGATGTAATTAATCAATAATGATTAATTCCACGATTTGAAAGAAAAGTGGGACGAGACACAGAGTAGAAAATTGATAATATTTTTCTAATAGTTTACAAAACCGTTGTTATTCGTCTTTTTTTTCCCTTTTCGTTGAATTAAAATCCTAAAATTCACCTAAAATAGTTGGAATATAATAATCGAGAGTTTTATAAACGAAATGTTATTCAAGATTGATCGACCCATTTTTCTTTGAAATCTGGAATATCGAAAGAGATATAAAAAGAATATCTTGTATATCTCGTATTTCAAAGTTTGTTTTTAATTACCTTAATATATAATCGCCCTTGACACGACGTCAAACGTCCAATCAAATCCATCGTTGCTTGGATCACTTTCATCTTTCTTCCAATTTCAACTTACATCGTGTTACGTACAACGATAATAAAAGATGGAGAAAGTACATATCGAAATTTCGAATTCATTATCGTGGTGATCGAAAATATCATTGATCAACGTAAAAATAAAATTTCATTCTTTCCATTGGTATTAATTATCTTTAAAATGCGAATTTAAACCGGATTAATTTATATTAACATTAAATATTTAACGTGTTTCGTAATGCATATACGTAGAGATGCTACGTAGTACGTGCTAATATACGTATTAAAAATTAATACTAATACTCGCGTCACGCGATCCACCGTCATAAGAAACTATTTGTTTAGTGGATTATCGATGATGTACGAATTATTTTCTAGCTGCTGTTCCGCTTCGTCTATTTTTAATTCATTGAACAGTCTATGATAATTTATTTCCTCGGATAAATCGATTTTTTATTTTTCTTTATTTTGGAAAAAATAATAATAATCGAACGTAAAGGAAATGTAGATTTTTTTTTATTACAATTTTGATAATAATTTACAACACGTTTCTTCAATTATCTATTCTTTTTCGAGTATTTCCAAAGAATTCGAATAAATTTCGACACGATCATTTTTTTTTTTTTCTTCTTTCAATATTTCATCCATTTATATCACGTGCATGATTTAATGATAATCATCGATATGATATGTGCTTGCTTGTTACATTAGCATGATATTTATTAATATTAAGCGACAAATTATAATGCGATTGATATGCACCACGAAGAGAAAAAAATATCGACGTTACTTATCATTAATACTAATAGATAATATTACGATAATAAATCACACTCTGCTCTAAATGTATTATCCAAATGTTGTTATTCTTGCTGTTATTATTATTGTAATTACAATTCGCAATGGTCATCTTCATCGTTGTTATTGTTATCATCATTAATCATCATTATTATAATATCATCATCATCTCGATATCAGAATTATTTCTATGATTTTTTCCATCGAAACCATATTATTAATATTTTATTCGCTTTGTAACAATGGCGTGAATGATGCGAAAAACATTTGTAAACGAAAGAGGCGCACGCATTTGCATAATTGCTTCAATTTGCGCGAATTCATTCATCTTCTAAATCGATAAAGGATTGATAGTAGAAATTAGCGCTCTCTCTCTCTCTCTCTTTCCCTTTCTCTCTTTCGCTCGTAAGCGTGAATGCGTGCGTGTGTACGAGCGAGCGTGTGTCATAAACTACGCTTTCATCTCTAGACAAAGAAGAAAAAAAGGCACGAAAAGACCGGTTTCCCTTAAAAATCATTTAATTTGACAATCTTGTAAAGGCAAATAAATACAAAGATTTACATAAATTTTCTCGTTACAGGCGTGTCTGGTGGAAATTGCCAGCCACGAAGTGCTGTATTAAACGGCACCATTAGAATAGTAAACTAGTTAGTGCTTATTTATCTACTAATCGAATACTGTCCGAGAGCCTCGCCGGATTTTATAATAAAAGGGGGAGCTTGAAACGGCCATGGGGAAACAAAATAGCAAGCTGAAACCGGAAGTGTTAGAGGATCTCAAGCAGAATACAGAATTTTCAGGTAAATTTTAATAAATTTTAATATCTCGATAAGTTTATCAATCAAATTACTCGATATGAAATTCTATTTTATTCGAAAGCTAATTATAATTTTTTCAACAAAATTATTAAAAATACCCTTTTTCTCATTCATTTTTTTTTTCTTCTTTCCCCCAAGTTTCTCCGAGATTTTATAATTTAATATCTTTGTTTAAAGATGCCGAAATTCAAGAATGGTACAAAGGCTTCTTAAAGGATTGTCCGAGCGGTCATCTGAGCGTAGAAGAGTTTAAAAAGATATACGGAAATTTCTTCCCTTACGGTGATGCTTCCAAGGTAAATCAAATTAATTATTTCGTTTCTAGAAAATGCATCGAAGGTACATTTGATATTCGATCAAAATAATTTTATTTATATTCATTTCCATTTCTCTATCAATCGAAAACTGAATTAAAAATATCGAAATGATTTTCGATATTTTTGAAATCGATCTCAATTCGCGGGAAGAATCATTTAATAAAACTTTCGATAAATGTTACTTGTATATAATAATAAATAATCCCTGATCGATAAGTTTCGCATTATTCGATCGTATTATTCATGGATGTGTAATATAACAGTTTGCAGAGCACGTGTTCAGAACATTCGATGCGAATGGGGATGGAACAATCGACTTTCGAGAATTTTTATGCGCCCTCAGTGTAACATCTCGCGGTAAACTGGAACAAAAATTGAAATGGGCCTTCAGCATGTACGATCTCGATGGTAATGGTTATATCTCGCGGCAAGAAATGCTGGAAATAGTGACGGTAAGAATAATCAAGATTAAGGATTATATTCTACATGGTAATTATAAAAAAATGATAAAAAAAAATAAAAAATAAATATTGAAATGTTTTAAAATTCGAAAGCATAACATTCGATGCAATATGTATAAAACATCGAAAAAGTTTTTATTTTCTTTTCGATAATATTCCAATATTACAAATTCGGGACAATAAAAAAGAACGTTTAATATATAATAAATATAAATATTAAGTTAATATAATCATAAATATCTAAATTTGAATTTTTTTTTTCTATATAATAAATCTAACCAATTTCTAAATTACGATAGAATGCAAACATATATATTATATTATATATATAGATATTTGAGTATTCACGTTTCTTCGAATATTAATTTTTCGAAAGGAAACGTTATTTTCCTTCTCTTTTAATAAAATCATCTTACATCTATATCTTATAATTACCATCGAATGTTTTTAAATAAATGTTTGTAAAACGAGTGTGAAAACACTCGATTTATTTATCAGGCAATCTATAAAATGGTGGGTTCCGTGATGAAAATGCCCGAGGACGAGTCGACGCCGGAAAAGAGAACCGATAAGATATTTCGACAAATGGATAAAAACAAGGATGGGAAATTATCACTCGACGAATTTATAGAAGGAGCGAAAAGTGATCCGTCTATCGTGCGACTGTTGCAGTGCGATCCTAGTGCACAAGCTCAGTGAGGCCCTGGGCTATTATTACGCAAGTATTACTGTGTCATCTATATACATGTGTATAACTATATCGGGACCCGGTCCGATAATCTTCGATAGAAACGATTAAAAATTTATCACGATATCACGAAGAAAACTTTCGTAAACTTTTTTTTCCGTTTTCTTTTCTCTTTCTTTCCATATATATATATATATATATATACACTTCTACGTAAACGCGTTACAGATTTTTATGCGTAGAAAAAGAAATATCTTTATGAACGTTTAATCGTTTCTGAAAAATATAGATAGGAGATATAGGACAGAAGAATAAGGAATAATTGTAAATTGGGCCGGTACCCGAATGAGTCCAGGGTCTCCGAGCCCATGGCGCTTGCGCATACCGCAAGCTAGTCTAAAAGACTAGTCCAGTCGCTCCGTCTCGTAAACGGATCGGTTTTAACATAAATTTTCATATATCTCGATAGTATCTCGCCCTTCTCTCTGCTGCGTACGAACGAATGACTGAAAATCGAAATTATACGATGTATGGATATGACACCGCTCGATACACGCTGTCATAATTGTTGAATTCTCTAGATTTTATATTTATATATATATATATGTGTGTGTGTGTATATTATTTCGATGATTATTCCTCTCGTTAATTCACGCCCATCAGAAATTTTATTGCGAAACTTCTTGACTATCGTTAATTTCATTAATTTTTTTCAATCGAATTTTGTATGAACGCATCGTTTTTAAATTAATATCCTACTTTATCGAGCAGTCGTCCTTACCATCATCAGTCTCCGTCATATGCAGCTCAGGGTAAATTAATTTTTATTAAACGTGTTATATCATCTTTGTAAGCTATTTGCAAAAATATATTTTATATCTAATACGTACGATAATAACGTTCGTCATTTTTAGCGAATACGTCGTTTTTAATTTTTCAGCATACGTATGTATATTGTATCAAACTATTCATTATGGAAAAGACTTATTTGCGAGGTACCGTAACTATATTAGCAACGAATGATAAACAGTTATATGGTCATCGAAATAACAAAGGTCATTGGATAAAATATTGATTCTCGGTTTCTAACCTAATAAATCATCTGATTAAGAGTTTTATTAAATCTTAGCAAATTTTCTTTTATATGTATATATATATATATATATATATATATACATTCGTGATATTCTTATTAAAAAATAACAAAAATATGAAAGACTGCAAAAATATTGATATATTGATATGTTATCGTTATTCGATATAATACTCAAAATCTTCAATAATGTTGAATAAAAATTTCCAATTTCTTCTAAAACTTGTATTTCTATGACCTTTGTTGCTATTGCTTTATCGATATACGTTCATTTTTGATAGAACATAAATTCAGCTAGAAAAATAACAGTAAAATTGTTAATTATATTTCTCGTAAAGGAATGAAGAAATAATCAAGTTCATCATTGCCTATTCAAAAGTAACTGAATTGATCGTACGATTTTCAGTTACTTTCGACAAGCTATTCTGAAAACCTAGAGATCAAGATTTCGAATCGAAAGGATTTCGAAGGAGAAAAATATAATAAGAGGGGAGAAATGAAAAGAAGAAAAAAGAATAACACGAATAAAATGAAAATGAAGGGAGAGGGAGGGGGAGAGAAAAAGCCGAAAGAATAACTCGCTCACGTGCATCAACCGTTTTAGAGATTTATTTTTGCGAAATGCGAAAATGTCGCGTGTCTAAGTACGTGTGCGAACATGCTATGTATGCGACTAAATATTTTCATGTATATTTGCGCGTATGCATACGAGA